CAACTTAAAAAGTAATCTTGATGAAGGAAGCAATGAAGGAAAATATTACTAATTTTGCCCCCCCTCAATTTTAACTTTTACAAAAAATATGCAAAGTCAAAATATAAACAAAGGAAAAGTTTCTACCACACATGATTGAACATGGGGCTTCTCCTTATTTTACGAAGAGATTGTCCTATCAATAAGAAAGAGGTAAATGATTCTATTGAAAAATAGATTATCAACAGTTAAATGACAATAAAAATGCAAATAGATATCAAATATGGGACTGCTCTCTCAGTTACATTCATAAAGAAATACAAATCAAAATGATGGTGCAGTGTAAATGATCATCTTGTAAATGACACCAAATGAATGGACACAATCTAATATTTGTGAGGTTTGTCTGGAGGTCTTATGGGAAGGTAAATTTGCTCAACATTTTGGTGCACGATACCTGTCAAGATGTAAAATGTATTTCCTTTGCCAGTCAATTTTATCTTATAGATATATTTTTAAGTACATTATATCTATCTCTCTATTCTCTATCTGTATCAATATATGTATCATTCATCTAATCTTACTTATTTCTGTGCCTAAGTATATTTATAGCAGCGTTGTTTCTAAGGCAAAAAAAAAAAGTTGCTTCTAAGGCAAAAAAAAAAAAAAAACCAAAAAAGTTGCTTCTAAGGCAAAAAAAAAAAGGGTGGGAGAGCTAAGTAAAACTCCACTGTCCATAAATAAGAGACTAGATAAATTAAAGTGTATACATATTATGGAATATTTTGCGGTTATTAACAGAATGAGATAGACCAATACATGCTGACATGGCAACTTCTGCAAGTCAAAGCACTACTAAGTAAAAAGCAAGATTCAAAGCCACATACATGGACACACAGAAACACAGATATGGGCATATATGCGCATGCATGTGTGCTATGGATTTCTGTGTGTATATGTGTATATTGATAATAATTTCATGAGCATATGAATTTGAAGATGTGTAGAATCATCTCTGTATATCAGAAGGAAGTTTAAGGGGAAAGTGTCTGAAGGGAATGGAGTTTGTTTGGGGGTCAAGGTGCCCTTCATTCTGACTCAGTCCTTAGCTCCCGGAGATCTGTGATTGGGGAGACAGGTCCTTTTGGGCTGTGAGGTTGGTTTCAGTTGACATGAAACTGAAGCACACATTACAGTATATTACATATTACATTATAGTCTTTTTATAAGACACCAATTCAAGGGTTTCATTTTAACTTTGGGGAGTATCTACACCTGACAAAGCAAACCACACATACCCAGGTGAGTTTCATTGTCAAAACCATTAAAACTGGGGCCTCCCCAGTGGTACAGCGGGTTGAGTGCAGTGCTGTGAAGCTGTCCGCAGCCTCTGCAGTACGGGTTCGATTTCCTGCTGGCCAGGGAGATACCCATGGCGTGGCAGACCTCTCCTGCCTTGCCCGCTGCCCTCCTCAGCAGTGTTTTCAGTCTGCCTGCCTGTTCTGTTCCCTGCTCTGTCTCTGGTGAATCTGCTCACCCTCCTGCACCTCTAAATAAATCTTAAAAAAAAAAACCAAACCAACCATTGAAACTGGCTTGGATCCATCTGGTAGCAAGGTGGTGAAAATAGTCCACACCTTGCTAGCCACTGCTTAACTGAGCACCTCTACTTTTAGACTTTGTGGGGAGGGGTATAATTCTGTACCTTTGTCTCTTGGTTTCTGACATGCGTCTCCTGTCTTGGCTTCTTGGAATCCAGATACACAGAAGGAAGCCTCCACAACGTGGGCCTTCCAGAACATGGTTCCTGAGATTCTACCAACAATGCCTAAGCATCCAAAGAGCATGTCCACAGGGCAGTCCACAAGGAGGATTTGGGAGACATTACTGCCTTGAGAAAATTAAGTTTGCAAAAGCATATTATTTAGCTTTGTCCAGTTTCCCTAAAATTCTCCAAAGAAAGTGCTTGTCTTCACTCTAGAATGGCAAGGAACATTTTTTCCCCAAGAAGTAAAACAGGAATAAGACAAAAAACATCTGGTGTCTGTTACTTTTATAACAGATGGAAAATGGGTTATCTTTGTTTTATGCTGACCCACAGAATGTCAAAAACCAATATTTTATGTTTTTTCTATGAAAGTTTCGATTGCTAAAAATGTTTTAAAACTATTGCAGTGTAATAAGTCATAAAGATATCATTTAGTTATAGAGTAAATTCATCTTTTTTCCATCCTTCCTTCCTCCCTCTCTCCCTCCCACCTCTTCTTTGCTTGTCTCTTCTCCTTCCTTCCTACTCTTCATTTGCCTTTCACTTGTTTGAGGACACATCATACATCTTCTCCACAGGGAAGACTGCCTGGGCATTTCCCTCTCTTCCTTCCTGAGGGAACCCCAATTACGTTGAATAATACATTAACTCTAGGGAACATCTCACAATTGGCTCCAAGTGCAGGAGTCCATTGCCTTACCAGAGGTGGGTCGAGGAGAAAACGTATGACCTGGTGTTGTCCAGCGTGCGTAAGAGGAATTCTGCTGGTGCTACTTGGAAATATTCCCCTTCCTGGTAGGGAAGAAAGGTGTAAGAAGAGGCTTTTTGCTTCTCTTTTGCTTTCGTGCCTATTGGGCTGTCCCATGATGCCTGCAACTGGGCTAACCATCCTGCCACATCCCAGGGTGCTCCCTTGGCCTAGAGCCAGTGATAGCAGAGTAGAGGGACAGAAAGAACATGGGACTGGGACAGTCCCAGCCTTCTCGAGCATTCCTAAGTAAACTAGAATTTTCCTAATGGTTGGAGTCAGGTTTTTCTGTGACTTGTAGTCACAAAAGCATTTCCCTGTACACCTGGGCTCTAAAATCAAGTGGAAGGCTCTATTACATTCAATAGAAAAGTAATCGTGTTAATTATGATGACAGAAATATGATCGCAGAGCTTTGGCTCCACCCAAGACTGATAGTAGCACTGTTGGAAGGGGCTGGGGAGAGCGCCCCATTCTGTCTCCCAGGAGCAGGGGCGGGTTTGGGAGGCATCTGTGGTCACTGCTAAATAATTCTGAGCAAGTTTTTAATTTTTTGAAGATTTATTTATTTATGCCTACAAGAAGTGGGGTACAGGCCAGAGTTCTGGGGGGTGAGAAGATTCACCAGAGATAGAGCCGGGAACAGAACACGCAGATTGCGGAAACACACTGCTGAGGGGAGCAGCAGGCAGACAGGAGAGGTCTGCTGCCCCATGTGGGTAGCTCCCTGGCCGGCTGGGCATCAAACTCGTACTGCAGAGGGGACGGATCGCTTCATAGCTTGCGTCTTCACCCCTTGTGCCACCACAGAGGCCCTGAGCAAGTTTTTAAATCCAAGTAGACCCGTTTTGCCATTTTGGTGGTTTCCTGGATTTTTCGTTGACATAGTTTTGGAGAAGACAGGGCTATCTGCCTCTGTTTGAGTTTGATTATCCAACTTGTCCGGCAGCAGCCGGCCTGCGCAGGGGGCGTGGCCTCCCCCACCTGCCCGCCCCACCTGCCGCACCTGTACCGCCCCCCAGACCACAGTGCAGTGCAGGCTGCTTGGCTCGCTCTGGCTTCCCCAACTTTGGTGCGGGGTTGGGGCTGCTGGGACCTGGTCTCTCTAGACCCAGCCAGGAGTCATCATCTGTGCATTTATCTGGGGCCCCCTCGGGCTGGAAGAGGAGGAGGTGGTGAGCCGAGGGCGAGGACATCTCCCTGAGGACGGCTGATCGCGGAGAGCAGTGGAGGGCCCAGGGCGGGAGGGCTGGATGTGGAGAACTGGGGGGGATTTGGGGTTCGTACTGGGCCTGTAGGAATAGAGGGGTCGGGGCTCGTTCGCGTGACCCTCCGTGTCCGCCTCCAGGGGCTGAAGCTCAGCCTCCTGCGCAGCTCCCCACCCCCACCCCCACCCCCACCCCCACCCCTCGGGGCGCTTCTCCGCGCTGGCCTGCCTGTGTTTATCACAGCAGGTTTACATGGAGTTTGGGGAGCAGGGAGCGTTTTCTGGGCCTGACGACCCCCTCCTGCCCGGGTCTAGCCGGCAGGAGGCAAAGCTATCCCTGAGGCCGGGTCTGAGCAGCCCCCCCACTCCCTTCTCACCTCTCTGTGGCCCTGGAGGGGGGGTAGTGGAGGAAAGGACGTGAGGAGGGCGCTCAGCCTTTGCATCTCTCCAGGCATCCTTCAGAAGGAAGAAGAAATCCTCCTGCATCAGCGTCTGTTTAGGCTGGGCTGGTTGGAATGGAAGCCCCTGCCCAAGACAAGCACATCCTTATTGTCAGTGACTCTTTCTGGAGAAGCTGAATTCAGATTTGCTGTTTGGCGTAGTTCACACAGAATCACCCTGACTGCTTCCTGGGTTCGGATCCTCACTTTCGTTATGTACGAAATTACCTCCAGTGGAGACTTTGTGTTTGCTTCACAGTTTGAGTCAGGGAGCAAGACGCCTCCAGCTTCACTCTGGGGAGTCGGCGCTTCTGGGCCTCAGCACCCCCCAACCCCAGCGCTTCAGGAGGGTTAGTTTCTGGGAAAGCTGCTTTGGGGATTGTGATCAGGGGGCGCTGACCCTATGGTTTGCTCTGGGAAGTCTGCACATTTCAGTACTGAGACACAGGGCAAGCTAGGAATTAGGCAGATTTAGGGACACTGCAGGAGGGGACCTTGGAGAATTGAGAAAGGCTTCAGAGATAAGGGCAGCAAGAGGAGTGTAACTAATTCCACCTGGAAAAACAAACATCCCAGGACCAAGGACAACATTGTTAACACTGGCCTTGATTTCCTTCAAGTGATAAAGGGAGGTAGAGATTGGGAAAATGGAGAGTGGTTTAATTTATGGACAACTTAGAAGGGCAGCTGTTTAACTTCAACGCAGACATGCTCATCCAGAGGACTAGGCCATAAAGATAAAGATGCAACACTCAGTAGCAAATTAAGTGAAACAGCCGAGAACTAACCAATCACAGAGAGACTGGTGGAGCTTTAGAATAATGAGGGAAAAAAGGTATATATTCCCTGAGACACAACTCCACTTGGGCTTCCTTGCCCCTCCCAGGCCTGGTTTCCTGGCCTGGGAGTCCTACTTTATTTCTGTTCTTTTTCTCCTCAATGAACTTTTTCTTTCTCAAAACAAACCTGCCTCTTCTCGCTTGCTTGCCTGAGCGTCTGTGAAGTTCCTGCTGTGGCTTCATGAGACACCAACCCGTGGGGGTCTAGTGGCTGGGGCTCAGCGCTGCCCCTGCAGCCTGGGATCTGTTCCTGGCTGGGAGACTAGGCCTGACAATTCCAGTATCAGTACTATTAACTATTCCCATCACCACACAGAGTATCTTTCCATTTATTTCTGCTTTTCATTTCTTTTACTGGCATTTTCTAGTTTTTCAGTGTGCAGGTTTTTCTTCATTAACTGTTTGCCCAGGTATTTCATTCTTTTTGATGCAATTGTACAGTTTTCCTATTGATGCTTTCTGATGGGTCTTAATGAGGGTGTAGACACACAACTGAGTTTCGTGTATGTATTGATTTTGTGTTGTCACCTTACTGGATTCATTTTTTCTAACCTCTTTTGGTGGAGCGATGCTTCCTGGCCGAGGATTGCACTCAGGCCACAGTGGCCTCCGACAGCTTCATAGCACCAAGACGAATCCCTGTGCCCCCAGGAAGGACAGAGTCTTCCTTTGTGGGCTACTGCTCACTGACAGGATTCCCGGGTTGTGTCACAGAACACTGCCCTTTGGGCCACAGTGGGGTGGGGTGGGGCAGAGCCAGGGGCCGCATACCGCGGCCCCGGGAGTGGCTCATGGCAGAGGCCTGCTCAGCAGGCTCCGTGTCAGGGCTGCATCCTGCGCCATGCAGTCACTCATACTCCTTCTGATAATGTTCATGTGACTGTCAATATTAAGACAATGGAAGGTCCTCCCTGTGGTGCCAGGGGTTAAGCACTATGAGGCAAGCTGCAGCCTCAGAAGCACAAGTTCCATCCCCCGGCCGGCCAGGGAGGTAATCCACATGGCGCTGCAGACCTGTCCTGAGCCGCCCACTGTTCCCCTCAGCAGTGCATTTCAGTCAGTCTGCCTGTTCTGTTCCTTAACTCTGTCTCTGGTGAATCCTCTCACCCCCACACCTCTAGCCTGCACCCCAGCTCTTGGATGCATAAATAAATCTTTAAAAAAAATATCTCCACCCCACACAGGGCCCTACAGGACATGCAGATGCTGGGACTCAAAAGTGCAAACGCTTCCCACAGCCCCTGACCTCCACTCCCCACTGCCATGTCCTCCACGAGGGCGTCCTCAGCTCCGTCTCCAAGGCGAGTCCGAATCTGTCCACTGAGCTGCATCCTCACCACCACCTCGTTGCAGGCGTGTCCTTTCTCACCTGGCTTGTTGCAGCAGCCTCCTAACAGATCTTCTTATTTTATCTGTCCCTCCTAGAACATTCCGGACACAACATTCCTGGAGGCTCCTCCTGGCTCCACACTGCGCCCACCTGGCAGGTCCAGGTATGGAGATGCCTGTCAACAAAGCGGTTTGGCCCCCAACAGTACCACTCCGGTCAAGGGCTCCCACTTTCCTGGCGCGTGTCCCCCAGGCAGGACAGTGACGTCCTTTAGGCCTCGTCCCCTTCTCCTTCCCCTTTCTCACCTGGCTTGTTGCAGCAGCCTCCTAACAGATCTTCTTATTTTATCTGTCCCTCCTAGAACATTCCGGACACAACATTCCTGGAGGCTCCTCCTGGCTCCACACTGCGCCCACCTGGCAGGTCCAGGTATGGAGATGCCTGTCAACAAAGCGGTTGGCCCCCAACAGTACCACTCCGGTCAAGGGCTCCCACTTTCCTGGCGCGTGTCCCCCAGGCAGGACAGTGACGTCCTTTAGGCCTCGTCCCCTTCTCCTTCCGCGGCATCTGCCCTTGGGCTGTTGGGGCTCCCCGAGATGCCCACAGGGGCCTTGCGCTGGACCCTGCCGGTCGGTCAGTTGTGCTGCTTGTCTGAGTCACTGGGACGGCTCAAGTATTTATCCATTTGCAAAAAAAAGTTACATCCTCACCTCAAACTGTTCAAAAAAGTCTGGAAGGGTCAAGCCCCTAAACGCAAGGCTGAGACGTAGGCGGCGGCATCGGGAACGGAGCACCTGGGGGGGGGAAGCCCAAGAAATCAGACCTTGGCCTCGGCCAAGGCCCCAGACCCAAGCCCTGTGGGGGCCCCTGTGGAAACCCTGGGAGCGCGGGGGAGGGGGGCATGAGGGATGGGGACACGGGAAGGAACACGCGCGCCACTTCCCTGTCACAAGGAAAGGGGGCTTTCCCCCCTAGATGGCTTTGTGGGACTCTGGCCGCGCTGGGAGAAGGAAGGGCAGCGACCGGCGCGCTTCAGGTCCCGGCTCCACAGCATAGGCCGCGCGGTGGGCGTGATGCCCCCCGCCCCGCCATCAGGACGGGAAACTGAGGCACGGAGGGGCGACACGCCCGGGGAGGGCGCAATAGTAACAATGGGCGAAGCAGCCCCTGACCTGGCGGTCTGCCACCCCCCTCGCGGGCCCACCTGCCACACCCCTGCTCCTGCCCCCCCCCGCTGAGCTGCGGACCCCAGAGCCGCCCCGGGCGGCCCCTGCGGGCGTCCACGCGCTGTCCTGGCCCACACCCCGGTGTGGCCCCAGCGCCTGCGCGCCGCGACCACAGCCCCCCCAGACCGGAAGGCCCCGCAGTCCCCATGCCCGCTCCCCGGGACCCGGGCTGGACGGCGCCCTCCCCTGCCGCCGGCCTCTCTCCCCGCCCGCCCCGCGCCCGCGCCCGCGCCCCCGCGGTGGCCGCGGTGCTGGCTCCGCGGAACCCGGCCTGGGGCTGGGCGGGGAGGGTGAGTCTAAGCGGGGACCCGCGGCTGGCGAGAGGGGCCGGGACAGGGGGCAGGGCGCGGGGCCATGACGCCAGTGGCGGGAAAGCCGAACCCCCTCCCCCCACGGGGAGCCGAGCCCACCCGCCCCCAGCCCAGTCCCCGGGACAGGCTCTGTCAGGCCGCGCGGAGCTCAGGCGAGTTTCCTGCGCCCGGTGACTGGGGCGAGGCCTTCGGGCGGGGAGCAGAACACCGCATTCAGAGTGGGGGCGCTGGGCAGCCTCGGGGTGTGTGTGTGTGGGGCGGGGGTGTGTGTGTGTGGGGCGGCGGCAGGTGGAGTGCGGCCTGGAAGGGCCCGAAGCAGAGATGACGGGACGTTGCGGGGAGCTCATGGGGTGGGGTGGAGGGATTTTGGGCTACTAGCGCTCCGTAAATGGCAGAGGCCCATGCAGTCCCCGGGGAGACCGGGAGCCAGACAGAGCTCAGGAGAGGGTTGGGTGGACAAACCCAGGGTCAGACCCGCCTCTAGCCCTGCGACCCTTGCTAGTGGGGAACACGAGGAGCTGCCTCTCAGAAACAGTCTCCCCTTTCCTCTGCCTGGGCGCTAGCGATAGGGTGACCCTCGGCCCCCCCAGGCAGCGTGGGTTTGGCAGGACCGTGTGGCCGCGCCTTCTGCCAGGCCCCCTGGACAAGGGTTGTGTATTTATCTGTCACCTGGTCCCGTCCCCCTGAAATCGCAACAGCTCTGCAAGTGCCAGACCAAGCCATCCCTGGGCCTAATCCTCGTCCTGCAAGCGGGCACCCCCCAGCCGTTGTCACCCCCTCTTCTGTCTCAGGGCTTCCTGGAGTGGCCCAGAGCACCCCAGCAGATGGCCATTGTTCTGGTGGTGTGTGTGCTCTCCCTGTTCTGGTGTTGACCGGGATGTCCTTGGCGCTTTTCCTCTGACCATGGCGCCACTGCTGCCAAGGGTTCTGTGTGTGGGGGAAGAAGTGACTGGGCAAGCAGCAGGACAGGCCACTGAGGCTGACCAAGTGCCCTCCCAGCACCCGGGACATTACTTTTGTTGTGTTTAACCATTTGGGGAGGCTTTGCACCCGTGTCCCTGAACGAAGTCATCCTCGATGCAAATGTTTTCTTTCCCACCGGGAGGGGGGCAGGGATTCCCCGGTGCCCCCAGCTGGAGGTGCAGCTGGACCTCACAGAAGGTAGACTGAGGTAGCTCTGGGGGTGGACAGTGTTAGTAGCTTCCTGGCCTGTGTCTTTGGGGCGTAGGACATTTCTCCAGATACTGAACCCCCGTCTTGTTTCCAGAGGAGTCTCCTGTCTGTTGAGTTCGGGGTCGTGTGAGGACTCACTCACCCTTTTATCTGCTTGTAAAGAGTCGGTTCCTTGACATTTGGAAAGAGGCCTCTGTTGAGGGATCACATCCTGGAGCCAGGGAGGGCCGACTCTTGGCTCCCGTGCATCCCTTGTTTTTTATTCATCCTCATGATGGATTTTGTTGCTAGAAAATCCTCCCACTCAGCTGTTCCCATGTTTGCCTTCATTTTACCATGTTACCCTTCCGTTTTTGGTCGATTTGTAAGTGTTGGATTAGTTGACTCTTGCTTCTCCAAAGAAACAGCATCACGATGGATTTATATCCATTTCCCTCCAGCTTTGCGATGTTTCCCATTATTAGCTTTTGGGTTTGAAAAAATGTGTTTCTAGTCCTCGTGTCAATGTGGAGGTTGAATCCTTTGTGTTCTCTGACTACAAATTATCCAGTGGTAGAAGCTGCCTCGGCAGCTTCCTGAAGTTGGATGCCCCGTGTTTTTTTATGTCACACCGTCCTGTTTCTAACTCATAATGTTTGGACTGACTCAAAAAGTCATTTTCTTGATTTCCGGCTCTGTGAGGGAATGTGGCCTCTCTGCCGCTTTCCCGAGCTTTCTGGAAGCCTTGGCTGCAGCCTGCCTGGATCACGACCAGTGTGTGTGTGTGTGTGTCGTGGACATTTGAGGCTGATTTTCCATTTGTAGAATCCCAAAGTTGGCTTATGACACTGTGCACGCCTTATTTTGGTCCGCCCCTGTCCCAAGCCCATGGAGGTTATGGGGAAAACCTGCGAGGATGAGTCCATTTTTTCTAATTTTTTCTCTCTGAGCGCAGCAGCTGTGACTGGACATGGAAATAGAACGTCGCTCTGCCGAGAATATGGGATTCACGCAAGAAACCCCAAATAACTGGTGAAAGTGAGTCCCTTCATGTCACTTGATGGGGATCCCAAGGCCTTTTAATGCTATGCTAGAGGAATGAAGACATGCAGGTTTGAAATGGGGGGAGTCTCCCCATCGTGCTCCTGGGGTGCAGTCACTCCAACAAAAAGGGGCATCTGAAGGGAAAGGACACAGATCTGAATAGGGACACTTTATCCGCGTGGCATAGCGTCCTGTCCCACCCCGCCCCCTCCCGTCCCGTCCTGTCCTGGCATCCTGCCCCCGTGCCCTGTAGCTCCCGCCGCACCCCACCCCGCCCTATCGCGTCGCCTGTCCCCGGAACCCTGCGGTGCCCTGCCCCGCCCTGCCCTGCCCTGCCGTGCCTCGCAGCGTCGTGTCGAGCCCGAGCCCTGCCGGGCCGGGTGCCCCATCACGCTCCACCTCATCCACAGCACCACCTGGTGGCGGGCAGCAACGGGCCATCGGGTTGACCCGACTGAACGCCTGCGGGCCCCAGGACGGCCAACCTCAGCAGGGTGGTCGACCTCAGCAGGGCGCAGCAGCAGCCGCAGCCCCCTCCCCACCGGCAACCCAGGGAGGAGGAGGGGCCAGGGACCCAAGTGGCTGCGTGTAGGTCCCCTCAGGAACCGACACACCTGGCCGCCTGAGCCCACACCCCACTCCCTCGGGGGCGTCTCCTGCCATCCAGAAAGGGGCAAAGACACCCCGGAGCTGCAGCGGGAGGATGGGGGCGTTCCTAGCAAGCAGCCTCTGCCAGGGGGCAAGTGGGCTGCAGGCCTGACTGAAGGCAAGCCCTCGCCGCACCGGGGTGGATCCTTGTTTCCTCATGGGCACCTGGGCACAGGCTTCCCTCACACTGAGCAGGGTTACCCCACCCCCAGCTTCGGGGGCTCCAGGGTTTAACAGCCAACTCACAAGAGTGGCGTGTGTCCCAGCGTAGACCTCAGGTGCCGCCTGCGGGTCCAGAGCACTTCAGGCACACACACACTTTGGCCATAACACAGACAAGTCCAGGGCCCACTCTGCCAAGTGTGGTGGCACCTCGCCAACAGGGGGTACAGCCAAAGCCCCCTGGTAGCATAGGCACAGGCAGCAACACCCAACCACATGTTGCTCTTTGGAGTGAGGCATCAGGACAGGGGGAACCTAGGGAGTCAGGCCCCCTCAACAGGAACACATGTGGGGAACAGGCCACGGAGGCCACAGGCAGGAGCTCAGAGGCATGGAAGCCTCCCCCTCCAACCCCAGATAACCCAAGCCCCATCTCTTCCCAGCCCTGCTACACCACAGTCACAGCCCAGGAAACAGCCCCCCCACACCATGGGCTTGGGTATGAGGCCTAGCCTCATCACAGCTCCGGGCTCAGGGGAGCCAGTTCTGCACCTGCATTTGTGCTTGAGAACACCATATAGCCCCACAGGGGCCACCCCAGACAGCACACCCTCTTAAGAGGGGTGGTGGTATGGGCTGCAGCTCAGGCCCCAGCAGCTTGGGACAACACGAGGCCCCTTTGCTGCATTCCAGGCAGGAGCCCATGGCTCACTTAGTATTGACCATGCCCCCCACATGTGGGGCACAGTGTAGGCACAACCCACTGCACCCGCAACCAGGTCTTGGGGAGCCTGCAGGCAACATGGAGAACTGTCCCGGAAGCACCCGCCCCCAGTGCTGCTCCCAGACCAAAGCACTCACCCACAGGCCCCGTGTCCTCTCAGAGACAGCTGGACCATGCTTGCCATGGTGCTTGTTCCCCACTTGCCACGAGTCCATCTGCCCTGGCACAATCTCACCCCACTGATAAGCAGAGGCAACCCCCACAGGGAGCACACAGGCATAGCAGAGCCAGCCCAGCCCACACCGTTGGTTGAGGTCAGGGTTATCATAGTGAGTAAAAAGGACACTTTCTAAGGTGCCAGAGGAGAAGCAAGGGCCTGCAGAGAGGAGCCACCACCCCTCAGAGCCCACCACTGACAGCCCAGGCCATGGCCCCCAGCCCCCCTCAACATGGGCAAGGCACCCCTGCCACCACTGCAATGGGGCTGAAGCTAAACACTCTTCCAGGGGAAGTCCAGTAAGGGCAGCACAACCCTGGGGTACACAGCACCAGGGGACAGAGTCACTGAGCTGGATGGAGCCAAGCCCGGGCATCAGCCCTCCATGACCCCAGGTGCCCTCTCGTGGAGGCTGCAGCAACACCAGCCCTGCAGGCACAAGCAAGGGCTCCCACAGCCACCCCCCTGGATGGCCAGACTCTAAAGGCAGTTGGAGCCTGAAGCTGGCCCCAGCACCTCTGGGGCATTGCCTGTCATGGCCCTCCACTGTCTTGAGAGCTGGAATCCCATGTCCAAGCTGCAGCACTCACAGGGGGGAAGATGCCACCCCAGGGGCCCTTGTACACAGGGCTCAGCCAGCACTTGATGTGCATCAGGGAGGAGGAACAGCCATGTGGGGGTTCAGAGCTTTCTCTTCCTCTTTACCAAACAGCCCCTGCCACGTGACAGCAGCACTGACCCATGCACACAAGGCAGGGCTCAGCACATAGCCAACTGCTTGGACAACAGCCTTTGGCAGTTCAAGCACCCCCACTGCCCACCCAAACTCAGGGAGGCTGCAAACCTCAGTAACGGGGGCAGTGACCCATCAGGCAACACAACACTCAGTCACCATGAGCTGGATCTCCACCTGCCCACCAGGGGCACCTCCCCTATAGGGCCCAGCTGGAGGGCTCCACTCTACAACCAGCCACACAGGACCCAAAGGGCCCCAGCTCCTGGGGCAAGCAGTACCATGTGGGAGATGGCTGCTGCTGGCCACCACCCAGAACTCCAGGCCTCTGACACTGGCAGGCAACACAGGGACATCCAACCCCAGGCCCCCATGGACCTCCAATTACCACCTTTGCTGGATCTACTGTGACATTATAGCCTCCATGGGGTTGTGGTGGCCTGGGCACTGCCCACAGGCAGGCACTCATGGAGCCCCACCAGCACTAGCTGCCCCCACAGGCCTCTCTTGCACACTGGAGCTGGCAACATGGGGCTCCTCCTTTCTCTGGCATCTCCTCCTCCAGCAGCACCACACAAAGGCTGCCCTCTAGCCCCAGAACAGCCCCATGGGCCCAGGTGGCTCAAGACACTGGCTCTTTCCAAAGTGAGGGCTCCAGGTAGCAGGACACCCCACTGAGGGTACCGGGCAGTATCCACCAGCCACACCAACCATGAGCTGCCTAGCTAGCAGCCACAGGTACCCATAGCCTGAGGGCCAAAAAGACTGACCACAAACACAAGACTCACCTCAGGTCCCCCTACAGCTTGAGTGCTCAGTGAACATCAGTTGTAGAACACAAGGGCCCTGTCACTGCATCCCAGGTGGGTAGTGGCCTTGGGAGGGAGCCCAGAGACCCTGGCAGAGTGTAAGCCAAGAGCCAGGTGCCTGGTGGTGGCCAGGGCAGCACAGAGCACGGCCAGAGAAGACTGAGACAAGAAAGGCCACAGAGGCCTGGAGGGCCCAACTCTCAGGCTGTCTATGCACAGCGGGGTCAGCTCATGACACTGGCAACTGTATGACTGACCCACCAGGAGGGGAGGGCAAGCTCCTTAAGGAGACACACACACCACTGAAGTGTGCAGCTGTGGACACTCAGTCAACCCCAAATTAGTCTGAGGCCAGCACCACAGCAGGGGGGCCACAGGGACACAAGGCCAGGGCAGCACCCGCTGCTCCTTTCAGGGCATCAGGACAGCGAGGCACACTGGGGGCCAGGCCCTGTAGACAAGCAAACAGCAGCACAGAAGAGGAGCAAGTCCTGAGCCATTGGGGCACACAGAGGAGGCCACAGGCAGGGGCTGAGGGCCCTGGAGCACACGGAGGCATTGCCACAGAAAACATGCACCCGCCAGGACACCCGCCTCCTCCCAGCCCCCGAGCTGCACATTCACAGCATGGGGAACAGCCACCAGCATGGGTGTTGGCGCAAGGTCTGACCCAGTAGCAGCCTCAGGCCGTGGGCATTTTCTCTACACGTCCGTTTGTGCTTGAGCCCGCCTTGTGGGCACAGGGTTCCCCATCTGACAAGGCGCCCCTCACAGGAAGGGCTGGTGCAGGCCCCAGGGCTCACCAAAGCAGTTGGGGGGCTAAGTGTTATCCTAGTATTGAAACAAGACTTCCAACCCCACTGGGAGTGCCCCTCTCACCAGCTCGAGGTGTGGGGTGCGTTGTGGGTGCAGTGTTTGCATTCTGTGTGAGGCACCACTACCCTGATCAGGTCTTGGGGAACCTGCAGGAAACTCACAGCCATGCCGGGCAGCACCCCCAGCTACTCTAAGACGAGACGCTTATTGCAGACTCCGGCTTCTCAGAGGCTGAGCACCGGTCTGGCCACGGAGCCTGTTGCCCGCTTGGCACACTCACGCCGCCTTTGGGCAGCGGCAGCGCCCGCTGGGAGACCGTGTGTGGCCGCCGGCGGTGTTACCCCATGGGCTGCTGCTGCGGCGGCGCGCGGTGCGCAGCTCTGAGGCGCCATAGCGAGGGCGCGGGTTTGCAGAGACGCCTGTAAACGCCGACACGGGCGAGGGCGCGCGCGGGGTTCTGCCCCAAGAGAGCAGTCGCTGATATTCTGGCGGCAAAAAGCGCCTATTTTGGGCCAGAAAAACCGCAGCGCCAAGGGGCGGGGCTGAGCCACGGGTCCCCGCAGCTGCAGCCCAAACCTGGACCCCCCTCTCCTTCCCCGCACAAACCCTTTCCCGCCGCCCGGGTGCGCGCCGGGGCTTCTGGTCTACCTCGGGCGAGGGGAGGAGCCGGGGCCCCGCGGCGGGGCCGCCCAGCCTCGGCCGTCTGGGGGGGCCTCTTCACACTTGGGGTGCTGCCGGCCCGGCTGCCCCCCGTGGCCCTACCCGAGGGCAGCTCCGGCCCGACTCCGCCGGAGACCCGCGTCCTGCGGCACCGGGATCCTGGGATCCGGCCCCGGGCCCCCGGCTTCAGCCCACGCGCCGGCCCCGATTCGCGGCCCCAGCCCCGGCCTTTCCGCGGGCTTCGGCGCGAAGCTCGCACCTCGCGGGTCTCGCCCGGCCCCCCGCGACCCCGGAGCCCACCCCCCGTGAC